ACACACACACACATGCACACACATACACATACACAGATGTGCACACACACACACACACACACGCGCACACATATTCACTCATACCCACACATCATATGCATACTGACTCAGGCACACTCACACTCACTCAATACACATTCTCACTCACACAACACTCAATCCAATGTACAAACACATTACGTACGCACAAACACATGCCCACACTCACGCTGATGCACAGAAACATGCACAAACACAGGCACATTCACACACACACATGCACACATTGATACTCATGCACATGCGCTCACAACTCACGTATACTCATACACACACATGTACTCTCACATACACTTATGTATTTCATGCACACATGCACAAACACATATAGCCTTGCACTCATACCCCTTCACACTCACATATGTACACTGCTAGGCATACTCATTTTCATAAACATAACCACAAATGCAAACTCATACACACACACTCATGCTGACACACACACTCATACTGACACACACACTCATACTGACACACACACTCATGCTGACACACACACTCACACTGACACACATACATACTTATGCTCGTAGACAGAATCATGCACAGTCATACTAATACACACACATACTGAATTGCACACACACTCAGACACAAACGCACATGAATACTCATCCACACATTAATATGCACTTACATAAACACACAAGCATATATGTGACATGTACTGACACACATACACATTCACTCACACACACACACACTATCAGACTTACATTCACATTCATACTCAGACATCCCACTCACACTCAGTCGCACACATATTCATTTTCACATTCATGCTCACACTCTGAGTTACGCACTCACATTCATGCTCACACTTACAGTCACAGTAACAGTCACACCCTCACACATTCAGCCATTCACAGAGACTGTAAGCTACAGAAGTTGGAAAAGTAGACACTCCATAAACAAGTCCTAGGTTAAAATCTGTGATTTAAGTATTTGGGTGTAACAGACCAGCTTGATTTGTTAGATCTTCTCTGATGTCTGTTCCCATCTTCGAATATTTGACATATTTCATAAAGCAAGTCTGAGGCTGATTTACAGACTGAGAGGGACACCAGCTGGTTACTCTGTGTATCTCAGCAAGACTTCAATATCAGAGACACTCTGATATAGAGCTGTCAGCCCTTATTCAGGAGGACTGGCTGCAACTTGGACTCACTGAGGAATGGACTGTTCACCTCAGATTCCTAGAATGGAGGAGAGAATGCATTGAAATTGATCCTGCTCCTCCCTGTGAATTAATGATTACAATTGGGACATGTATGTGAGTGTGTGTGTGTGTGTGAGAGAGAGAGAGAGAGTCTGTGTGTATCTGTGTGTGAGAGTGTGAATTTGTAGATGTGGGAATACATGTACAAGGGAATGCATATGTGTGTTTTTGAATGTGTGTATGTGTGTGGGTATATCTTAAGTGTGGGAATGTGTATGCAAGGGAGCGTCAATATGTGTGTTTGTGAATGTGTGAGTGAGTGTATGTAACTGTGGGAGTGTGTGCAAGGGAGAGTGTGTTTGTGTATGTATGAGTAAATATATGTGTTTATGAGTATGAGTGTGTGTGTGTGAGTGAGTGAGTGTGTATGTGTGTGAGTTGAATTTGTACAGACTGAATGATGTCTAGCTGTGATTCCTCCCATAATCGACTAGCCATATATATGATGTATCTGGATTTAGAGAATTATGCCAAACTCCAGATAACATCTCCACTTCAGGAGAGGAGAAACAAAAATGGAGACAATGCACTTTAAGAGAAAATAGAGCCATTCTTTAAAAGACTGCTCCTTGTTGTAAAATCCCTCCTGCTCCTCATCCCTCCCAATCACCAAAAATTCCAGGAGCTCCACAATCTCTGTACTCCTCCAATTCCAGCTGTTTGAGTGTCCCACTGTTCTGTCATTCACAGCCGTTTTCAGCTGCATGAATCCCGAGTTCTGAAATCCACTCCACAAACCTGGCACCTCTCCATCTCTTGTCCTTTAAGATGCTTATATCTTTAAGATACTGATATCTCAGTCAACTGTCCTCTCTCAATTGGGTCAATGCCAAACTTTATTTTGTTACGCTCATGTGAAGCACTAAAGGAGCTAAAATGTTGCAGGTTGTTGTTGTACGGCCTGTGTTGATAACCCAACTCCTGAATCTGCACAGGGAGTACATTCAGTCATGGGAGGCATCACCGGACATTGATGTGGTCATCCCAGATATTTGTTCACACACAGGGCTTCCCAGAAGCGGGTGTGTAAACAGGAGCTTTAACAGAGGAGGTAGTGGAATGGGGGTGATTGAACAGAGAGTAAGGCGAGGTCTCAAGGAACAGTTTCATCAATCCTAGATCATCAGTGAGGGAGTGCTGTATAAGGGAGTGCAGTCAGCTGTCTCAGTAAATAATCTGATATTAGAAAAGGTTTTTAGATGGAAGTGAAATGACAGCGAAAGGTTTCGACGGGTAAGTTTTGTTGTGTCTGTGCAGCACAGAGGAATCCAGCAAGCTGTGGATAATCAGTAACAGAGGAAGCAGAGCTCAAACCCATTCTCTATTGATGCCTTCAAAATCAGTGCCGTGCTGTCTCACACAGGGACTGTGATCAGTATCTGGTGAAAAATGACTTCATGATCAGACGATCACTCCTTCAGTGTTGTGTTTGAGCTGAAATAAAGACTCACATCTTCAGTGTCATTTCATGCTGTTATAGTTTATGCTTGTTTAACTTTTTAAGATCACTTTGGTCTTTGTGTTGATTGGAGAACCTGAGTGTGGAGGATGGTAATGAAGACAGAGTGACAGAGTAAAGGATGAGAGAGAAACAGAGCGAGAGACAAATACAGGGAGATGGGCAGAGACAGAGATTGACTGAAAAACACAGACAGACAGAGATGAACAGAGGGAAAGAAAAAGAGGGAAGAGAAGGGGAAACTCAAAAGGAAAGAAATATAAATAAAGAGAGCTGACAAAGAGAAATGGATAGAGACCGAAACAGATAGAGAATGAAATAGACAAATGGGGAATTGATACAGACAGAGAGAGTGTGATTGAGACAGAGTTGCAGACTGAAGATTATTAACTCCCAGTATGAAAGCTTTTGAGACTCTCTGTACTTACTAAAATAATCCAGATGAAATTTAACAGTTCAGGTACTTCCAAGCCTCTCCATTTAAGGCTGATACTTTGCAGATTTTGCAAATGTAGATGAAAATCCACGTTCTACATCTGGAGTGAACAGGGCACTTCAGTTTAAACGCCTTCTGGATTTGTTTCTTGGGGCCATGTAGGCCTCCTTAGCTCTGGGACAAACTATTCCTAACTCACGAGTTGCAGCCTTAACAATAAAGAGTAACATTTTATTAAGGCAAACAATGTGAGTTTCATGAAGGTGGTTTGGGAATTGCAAATCCCCTTCCCCCACCCAGGTTTAGAATCTGTTCCCCTCTCAATGTTTTACACAGTAAAAGTGAGTTAGTTCATTGCCTGCATTAAAATAAGAACCCAGTTATTCAATCAAGAACAGATTTATCAGAATGTTTAACCTCAGCCCCCTTTTTAATAGTTTGAGGGACAAATGTTGGGACAATTACTACGTAGCTGGAGTAAGCTTAAAAGGCCACACCACTGACTCCATAACTAGCTTTACAGATAATCTGGTACAACAGTGGACTGGAAAGTTTGGAATAGTTTCCCACATTATCGTACATTAATAATTGTATTTTCTAATAAGTCTGTAATACCAAGCATTGCCACTGGAAGGTGCCAGAGTAACTCCTCAGTTTAAGGGTGCCCTCTGCACTGGGCAGTAAGATTTCCTGGGATGAGCTCCAGTTTGAGTTGTGAATCTATAGTGAGAGGGACTGTTCTTTAGTAAGGACAGTGACAGAACGCCAAACCACGTGAGATATTAGGACAGGTGACCAAAGACTTGGTCAAGAGCATTAAGGAGCATCTTATCAGGGAGAGAGAGAAAGGTTTAGAGAGAGAATTTTAGACCATAGGTACAGTCACCAATGGTGAAATGTTTAAAATTGGGAATGGGTAGATCCCATAATTGGGAATGTGAAGATCACAGAATGGAGCAGGCTAACAGAGAGTGCGGTGTGGAGAGACTGGGTGTGACTGTAAATCATTAAGGTCAGTTGGTGATGGACTAATGAGACTTGGTGCAAATTCAGACACAGGCAGCAGAGATGTTTCAGTTGGGGGAAGATGTGAGATCAGCTTGTTGAGCCTTAAGAGAAGTGTCATGAATTAGGGTTTTAGCCCCAGGTAAGCTGATGCAGGGTGGCTCCAGACCATTGAAAGCTCTGACTGCAATTAGCATGATGGCCCTCAGACAGTTTCTAGGGAGACAGATGGAATCTGTGCCTCAGACAAAGGTCACAACAGGGACAAAACCTAATGTTCTTCTCACTTCTTACAGACCATCAGGAAAGCAGACCTACAGAACTGGTGCTGAACATTTCATCAGTATATGTGTAGAAACTGACACTGCACTTTTAAAAGGTGTTGTGGTAAGGGAGAATGGAGAATGAGAAATTAAAGGGAGCTGAGGATCAATCCCACAGTTTGGGAGGGATGGAGAGCTCCTGTGTCACTGCCAATGTGTCTTTAAGCAAGACAACCAAGAACCTGGTTGTCCTTCCAGACACCACCAGCAGGAGGAGCTGCTGGGAAGTGATCAGGAGCTGAACACTGGCTGGTTTAGTTTTAACAATGATTAGCCTAGAATACCAAGGCCAGCAATAACAGCCCCTGAGTGGGGAGGAAGTTCCCTGAACAGGAGTCTAAACTGGGACTTTCATCACCAGATCCTTCAGTATCTTGACACTCCCATGTTCTTTATGTAGAATTATCGAGAATGTCCAGTGGAGAAACAGACCCAATTAATCTGTGCTGTTATTAATGCTCCATGTAGCCTCATCTGACCCAGCTTCATCTCACTTTTCCTACTTTCCAATTAACCTGCTCAGCAATGTTATTATACACCTCTGGAATAGGTAGGGCTACGAACCCAGGCCCTTTGGTTCATGGGTAAGGGCACTACCACTGTGCCATAAGAGGCCCCTTTTGTCTCATTCAATCAGCATATCCTTTGTTTCCCATCTCCCTCATAATCCATTCCCTCTTTAACACCGCTGTCACTGTTCACTTCCTTTGGCAGTGAGTTCCATATTCTCACTATTCTCTGGCAGAGACATTCTGAAAGAAATGGCCTTTAAGTACATTAACTGGTCTCACACCTTCTTCCCCTCTTCTCCAGGCAGCTTTGGCTGAAAGCAACATGCAGCTACTCAACAGTCCGAGCTTAATGAACCCATCAGGTAGCAGCTTGATGCATGTAGCTCACGATGATGTCAGCAGCACTGTGGAGCAAGTGAACAGTAATGGAAGCAGCAGTCCTGGACTCTCCCCTCAACAGCACGGGTATGAGCCAACTCCAGGATGGTGGTGAGAGACCAGGGGCAGGGCTCATGGGTCAGACACAACAACAACTTGCTTTTTAACAGTGCCTTCCATGTGGGGAAACATGCCAAGATGCATCACAGGAGTTCAAAATAGATTGAGTTCAAGCATCAGCAAAGATTACCAAAACCTTTAAAATGTGGGATTTTAAGAAACCCCTTTAAAAAGGAGAATTGCGAGTTGGAGAGGCAGAAAGTTTTAGGGTGAAAATTCAGGATACCAGCCAGCTGTCAATTGTAACCAATTAAAATTGTGGATGTGCTAGATCCCAGTATTAGAGGAACACAGAGGGTCTGGTTTACTCATGGATTTGGCATTCCTGGCTTTACCAGCTTGTACTGTCCACCCCTAATTGCCCCTGAGACAAGTGGCCTCCTAGATTATTTCAGAGGGCAGTTCAGAGTCAACCACATTGCTGTTGGGTCTGGAGTCACCTGTAGGCCAGACCAGGTAAGGATGGCAGTTTCCATCCCTAAAGGCATTAATGAACCAGATGGGTTTTTGCAACAGTTGGTTAAGGTTGCATCATGGTTTTTAATTCCAGATTTTGAATGTATTTGAATCTCATCATTGTTGGAGATTGAACCCATAATGCAAGCACATTAAGCTTGGGCCATTGCAATACTAGTCTCGTGTCGTCACCGTCGCACTACCACCTTTCCATCTGGACTCTGTGGCTGGAAGAGATTATAAAGCTGTGGAGGGGGTGAGACCATGGAGGGACTTGGAAAAAGGGGTGAGAGTTTCAAAACTGAGTGTTTATCAGGCCAGGAGCAAATGTTGATGAGCGAGCACGGCAGGTGATGGGTGAACATATACTTTTGGATTCAGGGTGTGAAATACTGAGAGGCTCCTTCATTAGCCAGCAAGCTAGCAGCAAGATTGCAGCATTCCCATCCACTTCCTACAGGGAGCCTGGTAGCACCAAACTGCCCGAGTTCAACACCAAGCTGGGAAGTGAGTGAGCGCGTCCTAATGAGCATGTAATGGGAACAATGTCACACTTTCACAGCAGCTGATCTTTGTCTGAAGTCTGCTGTAGTAATGGGAGCTTCTCTCTGTGTCTAGTGTTCCTGTGCCCGAACTGGGAATGTTTGGCAATGATTGGGACTGATTTTCACAATAAACAAACAGGTGAGAGGTGGAGCTGAGAGTAATGTGAGCATTAAGGCAGGATTCCCACTCAGGGAAACAGCTGATGATAAGGGAGAATGTACATGTGCATTGAGTGATTGGTGTTCACTATTACTGTAATAATGATCATATCACCTGGTTTCACTTGTGGGTAGTGACTGGATATTTCCTTAAAAGGTGTGAAGTATATTGTTGATTAGACAAACAGTGTCCATCAGCTGACACAAGAAGTACACTTGACCCTGACCCACCTGAGGGATATTTATTGAGTGATAAAGTCCTGAGCATCTAACTTTAAACTGAATTGCAGTTTTCCAGAGGTTAGTGCAGTATGTAACACCTTACGACAGCCAAATCACCTCAATAGCTTTACAAATACAGATTTTCCATATCCTGGAGTCTGTTCATCACCTGTTCTTCTACACTGTCCCCCTGAAGCTCATTTTACCTGCAGAACAATGTCTTCACAGCAGAGTTAGCAACAATCTGCTATAATCCAGCATCTCTCCCTTCTCACTGTTCTTCATATGTGAGTCTAAACAACTCCGCAAGACTCCTTCCAAACCCATGGCCACCACCATCTAGGTCAAGGGCAGCAGATACATGGGCACACCACCTCCCGCAAGTTTCCCTCATTTGGAAATATGTCGCCATTCCTTCAGAGCCATTGGGTGCAAAGCCTTGAATTCCCTCACTGAGGGCATTGTGGGTGTCCCTACACTAAATGTTCTGCAGTGGGTCAAGAAGGCAGCTGACTACCTTCACCTCGAAGCCAATTAGGAATAGTCTGGCCAGTGACACCCTAACCAACTGAATGAAAATAAAAATGTAGATAGTTGATGGGAGTGACGTGTTTTTCCAAAGACACTAGGGAATGGATTCCTGGAAGGTGTCTCTGTTTCCTTGCCTGATGCACCTTTGGTCCACACTGCAGATGTGGTTAAGACCTATACCTTGGGTCCTTTCGCTTATGATGACTCACTGATGTATGTACTGATTGTAGCAGCTCAATGCCCCCATTATCGAGTTGGAAATTAATGGAACAGCCATTAAACAGCTTTTAAAGGTGGGAGTATTCTGTAGTCCATGATTGACTATCAATATGCTTATCAATCTTAACCCAGGCACCAGGTCCACATCAAGGAGGAGCCTGCAGAGTTGGAGGAAGACGATCCATCTGTCTCGATTATTGCAACAGCCAATGTGAATTCGGAAATGCAGGATGCGAGAGAGATGGAGGAGGAGCTAACAGCAGAGGAATTGGAATAAAATGGAACTCAAGCACTTCAACTTATTAAAAAAAAACAAAAAAACAGGGTCAGACCTCATAACCTGCACATCCATCAGAACAGCATCTCCTGCGCTAACTCACCTGGGACCGAGAGATCAAAGCAAGGAGCACGTTCCCTCAAATACCAACAGATACTTGAAAACTCTAATGGCAGCTTTAATTAGCCATTAACAATGGAGCATGGACACAACCAATTTTTTTGGTGTAGAGAAAATGGCTCCAACTTATCAAAGCAAGACTGGTGACCATTTTATTAACTTTCTTCCCAAATGTTTTGTCGCTAAAACAGAGATGGTTATTAGTCTTCTGGACTGCCAGGTATTTACACACAGCTGCAATGTGAATAAGTATGTATTCACTGCTAGGGCCCCAAACAGACTTTTACAACCTGCTTTAAAGGTACCTCAATTTGAATTTTTTTCTATCCAATGCTGTAGATAGCTCAACAGGCACATTGTATTCAAGCACGAGAGCAACAGCGGAACTGTTTCTGGGATATCAGATCCGTCTCACAGGCGTTGACATCTGAAGAAATCCAGATGAAAGATCCATCTATGACAGTGTTAACTTGTCTTTAAACTCTCACTGCTATTTTAATTTTTCTGTTCATATCTGGGACAGGGGAATGGGGATGGGGGGGTGGGGTTGGAACAGGGAAGAAAAAGGAAAGGGCCAACTTTTTAAATCTTTCTCATGTAAGCATTGTATTGCAAATGACTAAAGATTAGATACTATTGACGGAGACCTAATCAAAGGTACAACTGCGGAGACAATGGTTAGAGAGCCAGGTAGTCAGGTGTTCAATTCTCGCAGGCAGCAGAGGAACATTTTATAAAGCTAGCTAATCAACATTGAAGAATAGTACATTGATATACTTTTAAAGAAATGTGAATTGTCGATTGAAAAGCAGAATATTTCCTGTTGGTTCTGTTTTGGGCTGCATTGGTCATCCATCTATCCAAAGTGATTGAGACTTTCCTTTGTCCCAGAAAACTCTTGTGCCTGCTTGGGGAGAATCGAGGATTGCTACTTTTCTTCACTTCTCACTGACTCCTAGTATCGGCACTCACTGTGGAGATTCACCTGTGACCAATGGATATTTGAGCAAAATTCCAGCAAGTCGGCAGCACCTGTAGACTTCTGGGACAGAGGGAGAGAGGGCCGGGGCAAGGACGGAGGGGAAAGCAGAGAGCAGGAGGGTATTGGGTGGCAGGGGAGAGCAGAGGTAGAGAAAAGGATGAGCCAAATGGTCTCTTTCTGAGCTATAAATTTCCCTGATTCTGTGAGAGTGGGCTGTGGAGTGTGGAGAGTGGTGGGAGCAGGATGGGTAACACAAGACCAGCTTTCAGTTTCTTTGTGACAGGTTTTCAAGTAGCCTGAGAAAAAATGATACGAGAGCCATGGAGAGAGAATTTCTCACTGAAAGGACTTTGACAAAACAATTTAGAGATTTTGAGGTTTCCTACTGGAGCTGGACTGTGATGTTATATTCTGTCTTTCACTCATTCTTTCATTGCTTTGAAATTATGTTTTTTTTAAATTAGTGTACGCACAGTGCAATTTCAGGCGTCAACATTTCATGTTTTACAGTGTTTCTCTATGATAATGCTGTTCAAACTCCTTGAGGTATATTTATCATGCAGGCCATGTCACGATTGGGAATAAGTCACTGAGGAAAACGGTTCTTGTTGGTAAATTCCTAAAGAGTTTTATCCCTATTTCCTGGACCTAGAACGTAAAGAGTGGAAAAAGGGATTGGGACAAGGACTGGGGAAACAGACTCAAGACAAGGCTAGAGCTCTATGATGGAGTTCTCCCCCATTAGGAGGATATACATGAGTGATCCACTTGTTCAAGAAGACTGAGCCCAGGGTTTCTTCAAAATAATCTGCCCACGTATAAGATCAAAATTGTAGTTTTCTGTTGCCACCATTATGCTGAAACTAATCCTCAAACCAAGCTGTCCAGTTTAAAATAGCTAGGGTGTCTGTAATCCACAACCATTTGGGCCATAAATCAACCCCTGTACCTCTTGTGGCCCACTGTGTGGTGGTCCTCATACAACACATGCCCCTCACCCAGGAATCTCAGCTCCACTGGTCCATTTCACTATGGGACATTGCTAGAACTGGTATTTGGCTCTGCCACACTGAGTGAGAGAAAGCAGCAAAATGATTTTGGGGAACAGAAATTTCCCACTGAAACTGGAAGGAACCAATGGCAACTCAGGTGCAAGGGGTTGATTTCCTGATCTGAGCCCAAGAGGGTCCCTGGCTGTGGGCTTTGTGGGAAATGATCAGCCTTCTGAGAAATCTTCTCACAAGGAAAGCAACAAAAACAAAACAATAATTGGTCTGAAGTTTCATCTGTCAATGAAAGACTACAAGTATTCTGACAACTAATTGTCAGAAAATTCACCATAACACTCTGCATCTTGAGTTCATTTAAGGAAGGAATTAAAATGATAAAGAAAGAGATGACAACTAAATATCAAAAAAAGGGAAAGAGAGGAGTCACTGCTTGTATTGTACTGAGCATTAGTGTTGCCAGTTTCTGAGTTGACTAAGCCAGAAAGGTTAGTCCTGCTCACTGAATACAGCCTCTTTATTTCAATGCAGTTTCACACTGTAGCCACAACAGTCAGTCCCCACTCCCATCTCCATTTGTCTGTTCTGGCTAACATCAGTAAGTTCACTGGGTTATTCCTGTGATCAGTTGTATGACACAAAAACAGGAAATTGCCTCAATGTTCATCAAATCATGCTGTGCTTTCTGCATTACAGTCAAAAAGACCTAATGACTACATTCTGAATTCACACAGTCCGCCTCAGTGACTGCAGTGAACAAGAGGCATGTTAACTGATCATAGATTCACTTGTACTCTGTAAGTGCTTATTTGAGCCGTAACCTTCTGTCAATGAATGCAGGGTGGCCAGGTGCTTCAAGTGGAGTCCTGGTGAGATGTTGTGGTAGGTCTTTGCCAGGCATCATTTCAAGAAACCTGTTGGTGGAGATGAGGTGGAAAAGTAGAAAAGGGGAGAAATGTAGCAAAGTACTTGATGCTCTTATATGGAGGAGACACCCAAGTGGTCCATTCCCTGTGGGTAGTGCAGACGCTTGAACGTAAGGGATGATTCCCAGAATCAAATCTCCTGCTCCTATTAATTTGCAGAAATCTCCAATTGCTGATAATAACAGACCCAAACAGAACAGAATCAGATTTCTCCACCAGTAATGGGACAACACTAAGATCAAGTCGTCCCTATCTTCCAAATCAACCCCAGAACATCTAAGCAGGAAAAAGAATTATGAACATAACCAGTGCAGTTATAAGGACTCAGGGATCCAGATTAATGAGACTCCAATCTAAATGGGAGCCATGGATCACCAGTTGGAGATCCCCAGGTATATGGGATCCAGTAACACTCTGGACGTATGAGTTATAAATCTTGTGATTCTTTTTCCTCAGGTGTAGGCAGTTAAAGATTAATTGTTTCGATGACATTTTGAAACAGGGAGGGAAAAATTGAAATATTATGAGGCATTAGAGTTTCCACGACAACACCATTATGATCACTGAGTGAAAAAGGTCATTTATATCATTGAAAGTGGAATCATGAATAATGTAATGACCACTAATTAATTATCAAACCTGATATATTACACATCTCAAGCCTTCATAATCCTGAAAACCAAAAGGTTGTAACTAACCTGGCGCACATGTTAAAATATCTTGATTTTTTTTGTCTGGTATTGAACATTTTTAAAAAAAATTTTTGCAAAGTTTCAGGAATCCTGCAAGTATCCTGACCTCTTGTTTGTTCTCGTTTAGAGAATTCCAAGTTTCTCTTTATTGTCCTTTAATATTTAAAGACTTTGAGGATTTAAATCTAATGGAGCAGGTGGTAAATCCACAGCACTAAGTTGAACATCAGTTTTACAATCCACTTGATAATGCTCTCTGTAAACATCAATGAATGTCAGCACCAGTTTCAACACGCTCTCAGTTAATTCTTTCTTTTAGTTTTCTGATTCTGAATTATCTGTGATTATTCAGAAAACTGGAAAATGATTGGGAGTAGGAAACTCCTGGTCCAATTTGAATGGTTTCTCGCTAGTGCAAGATCTCAGTGTTGATTCCATGGATTGAATTGCAGTGTGTTCAGCTCTGGGTATGGGACATTCAGAGCTCCTTACAGCACGAAAGATGTATTCATGAGTCTACGTTCCGGACTTGAAGGGAGTACTTTGTGGTGAGGCAAGACTGATATGTTGGATTCACATTGAACTAATAACCCCTTGGAACACTGCACCACTGTTTGCTGAATTTATCCTATTATCAGAAAATAGGAACAGGAGGAGGCCATTCAGCTCCTCGAGTTTGTTCTGCTATTTACTGCTTAATTCCAGGTTTCAGGTTTTGTGTGAAGAAGGATGTCATTCCTAAATTCACAGAAATACTGAGTGTGCAGGTGAAGGGGTGGGTCATTTTCACCAAACCTAGCATGGATCTGATTGGCACCCTGTATTATATCTGACCTGCTTGTGTATTCGTTAAATGGGTGTAAGGTAGAATTGGACAGTGATTAACACAGGAAGGCAATTAGTGTCCAGCTGAATGTCTCAGATTAAACTTCTCCTCCAGGTCTCTGGCATTGCCCACTCCCGCTCTCAGTGACAAGTTATAAAGTGATTCATTTGAATCTTTTTTATTTTTACCATTTCATTTTGCAAGTAACCAAAGACAATTATTTTCTTTAATATGGTAAAGGTGTCTGGTAGCCTAAGTCCTCTCCTGTGTCGGGGCTGATCAATAGCAAAAGCTTCACAAAATTCCAGCTCACGTTTCTGTTGAGCTGAAGTGAATGACAATGTCTCAAACTCAGGCTAATCCAACAGCTATCGCCAAACTCTTCAAAATACATGGTGCAAAGCTAAGATGAGGTCAGGATAAACCCCTCAGAAAGAGGTGACAGTATCAACTAAAGAAATTTCCACATTGCAAAGTTCAGAACACATAGTGTCTGATCTGCAAAGTGGGCCAGTGACCATGACTGAACCAAAAAGGAATTTGTTTCTTTGTTCCTTGATTAGAAACCAGCAAAGATTTGAAACTTGTTAATAAGAAACAATAAATTCAAAAATAGAATCACTCTTAATTTATTCAAAAATTGAGCTTAAATTTTCTGTATCGGACTGAGTTCTGATACTGTGCCAAAGTTTAAACATTTTATTATTTATTGTGCTTTTGGCATATAATTTTTTCGAAAATTCATTCTTTGAGAGAAATTGGAAACCTAAAATGGGCAGATTTTTGTAGATCTGGGGTCAGAAAAATAACCATTTTAAGAAGCACCAATCCTCAGGTATGCAGATATTGGACATTTGTTTCAAAACCATTTGGGTAGGAAAGAGAGAAAAAAGAAGGGGATCGTTTTCTCTCCAGTGTTTCAGCACCCATTCTTCCATGGGATGTGGGCATCGCTGACTAGGCTAGCATTTATCACCCATCCCGAACTATCCTGGAGAAGATGCTGATGGTGGTGTTCCCATATATCCGCTGTCATTGACCTGCAGGGAGGTAGCGGTTATGAGTAGGGATGGTACAATCTAAGGA